CTAATGGCACAGGTTGGGTTTTTGTTTCTGTCAACCCTGACATTTCACTTCCTTCTTTCCGACCTTCACAAATTGGCTGCACGGACACGTTTCAAGTTCCAGGATGACAGGCACAAGGAGTTTCTTTGCAGAAACACGTCACTAGGGGTGAAAGATGCATCTCAAGTGCATTGTTCATGTGCCAGGAAAGGATTCTCAAGATGCACTGCTCCATCAGGTCCATAGGACTGAGGCCTGCACTCCTGCAGCTCCTTTGCTCCTTCTTGTTGATCTCCTTAAAAAGGAGTGACATGACCTTTCCTCCAGTCTTTGGGACACTTCTCCCAGTCACCAATGTTTGCTTCGTATTTTTGTGTTTGTGTTTGGCCAAGAATTTTTGTCTCCCCATGCAGGCCTCCCTACACTTACCTTATAAACTCTATTTTTGATGCGTCTCTCCTGAGTTTCCAGGAGGTTATCCTTGTGTATTAACCAGCTTCCGTGGGCTTCTCTTTCTTCTGGGGTCTTACGATAATCTACCCCCTGGTTTCTTGAAATGGCCTCTTTCAGCTCTCCAGAAGTCCACAATTGTGATATTGTTGTGACCACTTTGCTGCCTTTAGGATATTCATCACTACCATCTCATGGACACTGATGCCAATGCTTCCTTTCACATTCACATTCAACATGACACCATCCTTTTCAGTGAGGATGGGGTGCAATACAGCACCTCTTCTCAGAGCTTCTCTGTCATTTAGGGAAGGAAGCTCCACAGAAAAGAAATCTCCTGGTTTGTTTATATCCTGCTGAGTTGCTCCTCCTGCAGATACCATGATGGCTGGAGGTTTTGATCATTTTGCACAATGGCTAGTGACTGTCAGATTAAAGGGAGAAGGAGTAGAATGAACCATGTCGCATATCCGTAAAGGAAGAGAAGACTTAGGTGCATGACGGCAGGTTGTAGTGCTTTGAGGAGTTGGTTCTACTCTTATTAAGGGAGTTACCAACCATTCCTCCTCCGGAAACTCCCAAGCCATGCCCTGTCCACTGACTGAACACACCTGCTCCTTCACTCTCTGCTCCTATTCTGTTGATTGTGATGTTGCTGTACTGGAGTAATCCTTAGATCACTCACACAACACTTGAAGGAAGTTATCTTGACATAGTAGACATGTCAAAAATGAGGAAATGAAATTGCAGAGTTGAGGGAGACAAAACCACAACCTGCACCATTAGGAAGGATTATTTGCATTTGAGGTGAGTCTCATGGAAAATTAGTGCCTGAGTGAAGCGATTATGGGCCTGAGGCAGTGGAGGAACAGTATAAAAGTATATTCATCTCCTCATTCCCTCATCCATTCCTTGCTTCCATCTCTCTGCGAACAAGGTGAGTCCAAATCCCTTCCACCACCCCCTCATCTTCTGGGATTTCTCTATGCATGCAAGTGCCTTCATCGTAGGCAGGGCATAGGCAGACAGCTGTTGCACATTGGGCAGTACAGTTGGTATCAAAGGGAAGTAAAAAAACATGAGGTTCCTTACATGGCATTCATTTCTTCAGCCAGCACAGTGCCTCGGCTCTCTCCTGCTGGCATGGCGGGATGCTCCTCTCTCTCTTCTGTGTCCTCCTGACCCTCTGTGCCAACAGGTGCCCCTCCAGACACAAGACATGTCCTGCTACGACCAGTGCCTGCCACGCCTGCCCTGCCAGCCCTGCGGCCCCACCCCTCTGGGCAGCAGCTGCAACGAGCCCTGCGTCAGGCAGTGCCAGGACTCCAACGTCTTCATCCAGCCCTCTCCCGTGGTGGTGACCCTGCCCGGACCCATCCTCAGCTCCTTCCCGCAGAACACCGCCGTGGGATCCTCCACCTCCGCTGCCGTTGGCAGCATCCTCAGCTCTGAGGGCGTGCCCATCTCCTCTGGAGGCTTTGGCCTCTCTGGCATTGGCAGCCGCTTCAGTGGCAGGCGGTTCTTCCCCTGCTAAAGCTGCTGGCAGCGGCCCTGGAGAAAGACTCCAGGGACCCAGGAGTTTGAAGCAGAACAGAGACAGAGCATTGACGTTCAGCCTGCGCTCTCAAAAGACATGTTCCATTTCTGCCTTTCCCACTCCCTTTTTTTCTCCTTGTACCATTGCTGCTCACCATTGTGGTCCCCTGGACAGTCTGTCCCACAAAGCCAGCACAGGGAGGATCTGATCGGATGGCCTTCTGTGGAAAGGGCAGACGGACAGCTGGCAACGTGTCCACTGTTATCATGCAGCGCAGACTATCAACTATCCCTAATGCCTTCTGCACCAGAGTCTTTTCTCCCCATGATCTCATTTCCCTCCTTTGCTTCATTAAATTTTTGCTGCATCCTAGCCTTTGCCTCTGTGTTATCCTTCCTTGGTGGACACTCCAGGTTCCAGCTGCCAGTAGGAAAGCAGTTGCTCTATCGACGTCAGTGGGTATGTTGGTCACGCCAGAACCATTCCACTTTTCCAGAGGGTGGGCAGAGTGAGACATTGTACTGTGGGTCCCCTTGGGAAAGCACTACCACTCCCATATGCAGATGTTGTTCAACAGTCCCACAGTGTCTCTCGCTTTCAGTCCCATCTTTGCTGCCTCTCTGTTCTGATGTGTCCTCTCAGACACAATGTACATCTTGCTTGGTCACCGCTGGCCTTGATTAAGCAGTCAGTTCTGCTGGATGCACCAGAGGTTTGCAGACCCACATTCACTTGGGGAGGGGAGGAAATGGAATTTGTCTTCCTCCAGATGCTGTTCTGCTTTTCAGGTACACATGGTTTGGTTTTCTTGTCAAATAACCTGGAAGTGTTCATGAATTCTCTTAAATTCACAACTACACATAACTCTGATTCGGGGGCAACCTCGTCACTATCCCTATGTTTGGAGAGCAGTACATGCTATTTAACATTTAGCGCTTGTCAGTATACACTGCCAGCAAGGAAGGAGCTGCTTTTCCTTCTGTTTGTCTATTCTTCAAGAAAAAAGAAGATATCTAGATAAATCAATTCAAGTTAACACTGGCTAGCATGGTCTCAGATAGCAAAAAAGACTTTTTCAAGTATGCCAACAGCAAGAATATGCTGAAGAAAAACACTGTACAGATACTTGTTGCATACAGTCACCTAACAAGTAAGGATGAGGAAAAGACAGAGGCATTTAATGCTTTTTTTATTGTCTCAATTTTTAATAGCAGTGACAGACCTTGGGCTGCCCAGACCTCAGAGTTAGAGCGCTACGATTGAAGGAGCAATGACTTCCTATCTGTGCTCACCAGAATTGCAAGGAAGCAGTCACATCAGCTCAACATTTGTAAGCCAATGGATCCTGACATGCTTTACCCTAGAGTACTGAAGGAATTAGCAGATGTTACAGCTGAATCCCTCTCAACAATTTATCAAAGGTTGTAGGAGTCTGGGGAGGTCTCTCATGACAGGAAGCCAATTCATGACCCAAGAAAAGATGCAGACCTGTAAAAGACCCAAGAAAATGCAGACCTCTCACTCCAACCTCAGGCTCTAGAAAAGTCATAGAAAAGATTATCCTGAGGGTTAATGAATGACAGTTAAAGAACAAAGTTATTATCAAACACAGTCAATATGGGTTCACAAATATACATACTTCAAATATACATGCTTCAGAAAAGCAATGAGGAGAATAAGGTGTGACTGCGAAGCGAGTGATATTTTTTTCTGCAAAATAGCTCTTATAAAAGCCTAGTTAAGAGATATGATCTTTTTTTTTTAGTTGAATATCTGATTATAACTCCATAATTTCCATTTGAAAACTCACAGGTAATTTATTCATTAAGTCAACTGAAAAGAGTCGCAAATATACCCAAAATTTGATGATATTCATTTTGCAGTCTTGAAACCTGTTCTCAAACTCCTTTATCAAAATGGAAAGCAAGGTTGCATATTTTCACTGTTCACAGGACTGTGTTTAGCCAGTGCATCAAAATGCATACAATTATTTGCCTTATCTTGAGTTAGCTCTGCTCTCTGCCCTCCTCATGTCACAGTTTCAGTCCAGACAGCACTGACAGAATGTGGGAACAACACAAAGCTACAGCAGGGAAGGTTCAGACTGGACATTAGAAAAAAAAAAATTTAATGACAGGGTGGTCAAACACTGGAACTGGCTTTCTAGAGAGGTTGTTGATGCCCCAGATTCGTCAGTGTTCAAGAGGCATTTGGATAATGCCTTCAGTAACACGCTTTAACTTTTGGATAGTCCTGAAGCGGTCAAGTAGTTGGACTGGATGATTGCTGAATGTCCCATCCAAATGAACTATTTTATTCTAAATATGAGAACAAGAAGGGGTCAAGGCAAGGCTCACTGTTGCCCAGGGTGAGTTTTGCAGAAATCAAGCATGCTCTGTCATGAATGACCTGGGACCCTGAAGAAAGGTTCCTGTCATTTCTCCCAGTTGCTATGAGAAGGGAGCAAATGGTTGTTGAAGAAATGGTTGATTCAGGTTCTGCTTAAGATTCTGCAGCTTAGGACAGGCATACAAGTAATCTATCAATGATTCCCTCCTCTGGTATATTTTCCTCCCCTAAAGGAAATTAGCAGACTAAAGGCTAGTTCCTTTTCCTAAAACATACGAGTCTCTTCATTCAAAGTCAGTCCTACAAGGAGGGAACACTTGAAGAACTGTGAGTTGCAAGCATACATTGCCCTTGGTGGATAGAAGAAGAGACAGAACAAAGAATGCGGAGAAAAAAAGAGAACATTTTTAGCTCTACAGGAAATAGTTACAAAAATGTTATTTAGAGGGAGAGTCTAAATGACATTTGTTTTCATTGCAGAAAATTGCCAGGGCTCCAGAGGCCCATCTGTAGCCTCATGCTGTGATGTTCTTGACCTGTTTTTACCAAGAAACTTTGCCATGGAGCTATACACAAACCTACTCATGATTATGATATACACTGAGCATTCCAAAGTGCAGCAAACTCTTTTCAGGTGTGTGTTCTTGCAGGGAGGACTGCAGAGAGAACCAGAGACCATGCTGCAGTGTAAAACAGACCCCTCTTGAATTTTCAGCTTTCTCTCCCTCACCTCTGGGCACACTGCTGGCTTTTGTTCAGGCAGCTGTCATCTAACGTCCCCAGATCCTCTTCAGCCACTCTGCCTCAAGCCTGTAGCACTGCAAAGGAATTAGCAACCAATTAGTAGTGACAGTAGTGACCAGTTGCCAGCTGGATTTAACTCCATTCTCCACTACTCTCTGGGCCTGGCCCTCCATCCAGTTCTTTACCCAGCAAATAGTGTATCTGCCCAAGCAGCTTCTCTGGGAGAATACTGTGGGAAACAGTGCCAAACTATTTACTAAAGTCTAAGCAAATTACAGTGACAGCCTTTCCCTCATCACCTAGGCTTAGAAAGAGATGAGGATAGTCAAGCATAATGCATTTCCTCTACTTTCTCCATTCTTTGTTTTTTGGTATGTGGACTCATTAAGTATGTATGTAGCTTTTCTTCATTAGCTGCTTTTTTTCCTTCTAGTTCTTTAAACATGTACTGTGAAAACTGTGGAATATTCTACAAATTTCTCTAAACACAACAAAAATTCTGTGAATAGCTAATAACTGTTAACTACATTAAATATGGGCATAAGTCTGCAAATGCCATCTGGTGAGAAAAAAAATGGCTGTTAAAATTGTGGGCATGCCCATCCTCCTTTCCTGATTTTATGTTTATTAACATTAAAGGCTTCAGAATTTTGACCTGGAAAGGCATCACACAAGTTGGTGACATCCACAGACTCGCTGAAGTTGTATTCAACCACACCATTGATGTAATTGAATGAAGATATCAAAGAGCATCTGTCCCTTTACTGACCCCTGAGAGACATCATTTGTCACTGATCTCTATCTGAATATTGAACCATTGATTTCTGCTCTCTAGGCACGATCTTGCAACCAGATCTTCATCCCATGAACCTGTCAAATCAATATCTTTCCAAATTAGAGAGAAGGATGTTATGGGGGACCACGTCAAAGGTCTTGCTGAAGTTTAAACAGATGACACCAGTCTTTCTTTCCTTGACTACTGATAGTTACAAGATCATAAAAAGCCACAAGGTTGGTCAGGCAAGACCTGTCCTTGGTGAAGTCATGCTGGTTCTTCTGTATCACTTCCCTCTCTTCTGTGTGCCTTAGCACAAATGCCAAGAGCATCTGCTCTATGATCCCTCCCCCAGTACAGAGATGAGGCTGACAGGTCAGCAGTTCCCTGGGTCATTACTCTTCCTAAAAATGGATATGATATTGCCTTTCTTCCACTAGGGATTTCACCTGACCACCAGGACTTTTCAAATATCATTGACAGTAGCTTGGCTACTACGCTGGCCAGTTCCCTCAGGGATAGATCTCATCAGGCCCCGTAGACCTGTGGATGCTCAGCTTTCTCAGGTGGTTGCAAACCTGATCTTTGCTCACAGCAGGAGGGACATCGCTGCCCCAGTTCCTACCTTCCAAACCACCCACTAGCAAAGGCTGTCTGTAGAGCAGCCACTAACAAAAATTGAGGCAAAAAAGTTGAGTGCCTCAGCTATCTCCTTATCTGTTGTTATCAGCCTGCCTGTATTTCTCACTAGGTGCAGAACACTCTCCTACACTTTCCTTTTCCAGTTAATGTACCTACAGAAGCTTTTCTTATTCTTTCTGCCTCTTGCCGTGTTCAGGTCCAGCTAAGCCTCCTAACCCTATCCCTATATACCTCCCACAATACCCACCCCCACTTCCACTACCTGTGCATTTCCTTTTTGTTCTCTACTTTGATCAGTAGGTTCTGGTTCAGTCATGCCGATCTCTTACCTTCAATACCTTGAATTAATTGCCTAGAACTCAATTTATTGAGATCACCACAGATGCGCAGAGGGCAGTGTTGCCAGGAGACACCGCGCATGCGCAGAGAGAAGAGGTTGCTAAGAGACACCGCGCATGCGCACGGGGTAGCGGGGCAGCACGGCAGGTGTTTTCCGGCCGAGGCGCCGAGGAGAGGCGGTGCCCTTCAACTCCGCTCCGCTTTTCTCTCGACGCCCTGAGGGCCTTTCTGGCCCGGTACCGCAGCCCTTCCCCACTATGGAGGCAGAGGATGACTTGGGTGAGGCTCGAGGCGGGGTCGGTGGGTGGCAGGGGAAGGCGGTCTCCTCGGCGCTGCGGGCTGGGTCCGGTCCGGCCTACCCCGCCCTGCTTCCCTGCCCCTCCTCGTCCCGTCCTGGATCCTAAAGCAGAGAAAGCCGGACGGGAGCTGGGCACGCTGTGAGCTGGCAGGGGGTGTTGCAGGCTGGTTCTGTCTTTATGTAACTGAGCTGATGTTGTGAATCGAGCAGAGGGAAATCTGCAGCTTCTGTAGTGTTTTCCAGATGTTTTGTGTGCGTGAGCTGTGTTTGCTGCTGCAGGTAATTCAGAGTGTTTGGGGTGCTGACGTTCTGATGGGGGAAGGTTGCTTTTCCTACATCAGCAGGAGCCTAAAAGCAGAGCCTCAGCATCTTGCTGGGATTGGTAACACTGGTATCTGGTGGCCCACCTTTTGCCTTGCCTGGGTCGCATATGCACAGCTTGCACCGAAAGTATTGCCTCTTATTTATTTCTGTGGAAACTACGGTGGCTACAGAGAGCTGTTTAATAGTTCGCATTCACAGTTATATTTAAAAAAACAAAAACAAAAAACAAAAAAAAAAAAACTAATTTTTGACAATCAGTACCATTAACAGTGGATTTTCGCCAGTAAAGAACACAGTGCATGTGTGCTCCTCAAAAATCTGTGCCAGCAGAGGTGACGTGCTCTTACTGCCACCATTGCTTTCAATGTAAAGAATCACATTACCAATTGCATCACTTGTATCAGAAGTAGTGTTGCCAGCAGGAGTAGAGAGGTAAGCAATTATTCCTCTATCCTCAGCTCTGGTGAGACAGCACCTCAAGTACTGTGCTGTGTTCTGGCCCCTCGCTACAGGAATCACATTGAGGCCCTGGAGTGTGTCCAGAGAAAAGCAGCAGAACTTTGAGGGGGCTGGAGCACAAGTGTTGTGTGGAGCGGCTCAGGGAGCTGGGATTGTTTAGCCTAGAGAAAAACTTCCTGAAAGGAGGTTACAGTGAGGTGGGGGTTGGTGTCTTCTCCCACATAACTAGTAGTAGGATAGAGGGAATGGCCTCAAGTTGCAGCTGGCAAGATTCAGGTTGGACATAAGGGAAAAACTTCTCTGAAAAAGTGGTCAGGCACTGGAATGGGCTGCCCAGGGAGGTGGTGGAGTCACCATCCCTGGAGCTGTTCAAGAAACATCAGATTTTGTACTGAGGGACATGATTTAGTGGGAAAATATCAGTGTTAGGTGGCCAGTTGAACTAGATGATCTTGGAAATATTTTCCAGCCCTGGTGATTCTGTGGTTCAATGGAACGTACCACCCATCACCTCGCTGTGCTCACATCCACTGTTTGGTCTCCTTTAATGTTCAGCGAGTGTGCGTGAATGTTGGTGGGTGACATTTTTTTTTTGCGTGGAGGAGCTCAATTCCACATCTTTGCTTCATGCACATGTGAGAGCCGGGTGCCATTTTGTTAGCTTGTGCCTCTCTGCCATCTGCCACATGGCAACAAATGTAATGGATATTGGTGGGAAGGTGCAGCCTCTGCTGCTGCGAGTTAGACGTGCCTGCTGTGGGCACAAGAGCAAGGCAAGTGTGTTAATTAGAAACTTAGTCAGCAGTCAGTTATTTTTGTAAACAATTTCTTGACCAAACACAGCAACTGACCTACTTAGCACATCACCTTTTGGCCAGCTAGCACTTCCCAATGGAACCCCACAACTAATGACTCCCTTGCAAGACTGCCATGTTAACACAGCATGCATGATGTGAGATTTTAATATGTGTAGCAATGCTCAGAACAGTGGGCACTTTGAATTGTATTTAGCATGTCTGAATACTCACACAATCTTTGTGCTTCAGCTCCTGTGTATGCTCATTAGGTGGAGCAACCCATGTTCACCCAGCACTGCAATAAAGTAATGTTGGCTTTCTAACCTGACATTCAGGTTGGTGACATTCAATTTCCAGATTTTGGTGAAACCTCCTGACCTCACAGCACTTCAGGTGATGCCGTTATGGACCTTTGTCATCATCAATGACCAAAGCGGGTCCGAAACTCCTGGAAGGAGAGTGTGTCCCAGTCCTGAAAGCTTAGCAGAAAGCAGGTGGCAAAATGGAGCAGGAAGGTGGGAGAGGGCACAGCGGGGTTGCACACCATGCTGTTCTGTTGAGTGAGTGGCAGCTGCAAACAAAAGCCATGTTTTTACACCCCGCTCTCTCTGTGTCAGGAAAGAGGACTCATTTTTTACTGCCAAATTAAATTAGTGTCCTGCTGCTTCCTGTCACCACATTGATGGGCTCAAAACCACTCACCTCACTGCTTCGTATTGCAGCTGAAATGTAAATGGTTACTGGGATGTACAGACTAGTGGAAAGATACTTTAGCAACATGAGGCACCTTTTTAAAAAAAAAAAAAAAAAATTCTCTGTTTTTTCATCTGCAGGATGGGAGTGCAGCCCAGTGACAGAGCAGGTCTCTGAAGTTGTAGGACAAACAGTCCTCGAGGTGTGGGTGTATGTATGGAAGATGTCTGGTTATAGGGATCATGAGCTTCCCAGTGACACAGGCATGCTTTGTTCTGTGATGGGTTCCCTACCCTGACATAATGAGACAGTTGTTAATACGGACAGCAGTTCTTAGGTGGGCACTTCATGGAAATTGTTGAATATTCACACATGTTGTGTATATAATCTGTGTGCTTAGCTGCTGGGTTTGCATCTGGGTAGGGCAGCCCCCAGTTCACGTGTAATGGAGAATGCCTGCTTCCTAATACCATGTTGGTCTTAAGGAGTTTTATTCCAACAGGTCTTGTCCAGTGACAGAGCCAAGGAGCATCCCAGTAGCTCGTTGCTGACCAGGGCAGCATTGTGGTTTCCATGCTTTTGTGCCCCAGAGCCTTTGCTTGCTGCAGTCTTTGGATTAATAACTGCGTCTTTTTACCTGGCCAGGCCAGCTCTGTGACTTTTGTGGTTGCAGTTTGATGTAGTAGTAAAGGCTCCCTTTCTTCTCCATCGTGTACTCATTCTTGCTTTCTTTTTTGTGCTGATAATGCCCATGTAAACCTAATGAGATTCAAGAACACCAGGAGTAAGGTGCTGGGCTGGGGCAATCCCAGGTGTGTATATAGACTGGGAGACCTCCTTGCAAGCAGCCCTGCGAAGAAGGACTTGGGGATGCTGGTAGCTGAAAAAAGCTTAATATGAGCCAGCAGTGTGCACTTGCAGCCCAGAATGCCAACAGTACCCTGGGCTGCCCTGGCAGGTGGCAGCTGGGTGAGGGAGGTGATTGTCCCCCTCTACTCAGCTCTTGTGAGACCCCATATGCAGTACTGCTTCCAGACCTGTGACCAGCAGCACAGGAATGATGTGGAACTTTTGGAGAGGGTCCAAAGAAGGGCCATGAGGATACACAGGGCTGGAGGACCTATCCTGTGAAGACAGGCTGAGGGAGCTGGTCTGGGAGAAGAGAAGGCTGAAGGGAGACCTTCCAGCATTTAAAGGGGGATTATACACAGGAGGGAAATCAACTTTTTCTATGGATAGGACAAGGGGAAATTGTTTTAAACTAAAGGAGGGGAGATTTAGATGAGGTATCCGGGAAGTTTTACATGAAGAGTGTGGTAAGGTGCTGGAACAGACTGCCCAGAGAAGGTGTGGATGCTCCATCCCTGGAGATGTTTAAGCCAGGCTGGATGGGGCCCTAGGCAACCTGATGTGGTGATTGGCAACCAGCCTGCAGCAGAGGGGTTGGAACTGGATGTTCTTTGAGGTCGCTTCCAACCCAAGCCATTCTTTAATTCCAGTGAAAGCTGAACCTGTACAAAGCTTGTCAGAGCATCTTAATAATGAAGTCTTTGATTTTCAGCATTTCTAGTGACCCTTAAGTGAATGGTTAATGGCAGTGAGGTGCTGACAGCAGCAATGTTGCACAGCTGGAGTGCGAAGAAGGGTTAGGTTCTTCTTTCCTAGTGGCTCAGAACATGAAGTCAGCTCAATGTGACTTGGGAAAAGCATCTCGATGAGCTGCCAGCCTGTGGGCTGCGACAGCTCCCTGACCTGGCTCTTGAGACAGCTGAACACCAATTGTGTGAGAGAAGAGGGTGCGATGGCAGGAGGCTCAGCAGCAGCAGCCGATGCTTAGATCTATTTAAGGTATTTTGTAATCTGTCTTAAGTGCACCAAAAGCCTGTGCACAAAGGCAGAAGTGAGGAAAGAAATCTAATCTGGCCTCCTGTGAGTGCACAGCAAACACCCCCACAGGTAGCAATAGGTAGTGGGGCAACCTGTGCCTCCTCCTGGATGCTGCTCTTTTCCTCACTGAGGATATGGGAACGTTTATATGATATCTGTGTATGCGCTTCTTCTGCTTCCCTGTTCGTTGCCTGTATTTCTAGGTGTTTTGATAACTCCTTAGCTCCTAAATAATTGCTTGATTTGGAAGAAGTTTCACTTGAAAGCTTCATGCATCCTGCTGCTTCCTCAGAAATTAAACTAAATTGTCTGGCGTCCTTCCTCCAGCCAATCTAGCTGTTCATCAAAAAAGACTTGGCTGAGAAGTTCCTGAGGGCCCTGGTGGGTATATCATCATCCCAGAGATTCCCACCTAAGATAGCTGGAGAAGTACGGTGTCTCATTAATTTTGAGTACCTGTGGTTACCCGTTTAATGTGGTATCTTAAGGAGCTGCTATTCACTGTACTGCTGACCTCTTTTTTTTCTTTTTTTTGGCGCCCCAAACTTGTAAATCGATTTGTTTAATTATACAAAACAGGCGACTGCCTTAACGAGTTTCAGAGAAAGAATGACTCTTCTAACTTCCTGAGATGACATCCCTGATGTGGTGGTGTGTTTTTTCCACTTCACTCTATTAGTGATGTTACATCCTGTCTTTCTTACTAGTTTGTTTTGTTTTTTTCTCTCTCTGTTCTCCAAATCTTTTAGATGATCCAGAGAGATTAATACAGTGTCCATATGATAAACAACATCAAATCAGAGCCTGTCGTTTTCCCTATCATCTTGTAAAGTGCAGGAAGGTAAGCTGAATTGCTGAACACCAGATGGGGGTTGTGTGTGTGTATAAAAAGTATATATATAATAAAATACAAGGTTTTTATATAAAAAAAGTGTGCATATTCTCACTCTTATTCTGTTGTCTGGATGACTTGAGTAAGTTCTTTACAAATGATCCCATATAGTATTTACTTCATATATATATATATATATATATATATAATTATTATTATTTTATTACTCTTTTAGAAATAGCTTCAAGCACATTGACTCACCTAAAACCAGTGTGGCTCTTCATGGTCAGGTCAGGGAGGAATTCATGGTCTCTTTGAGATCAGATAAGTTTTCCCACGTGAAGTTCTAGAGAAAATTCAGGCTGAGTTATGTGCACCTAATCTGTCTCATCGGAATAGAAGTTGGATGTTGCAGTTTGTTGAGTGATAGAAATGCTTCAGTACAACTTTTGTGTTTGATGTTGCTTAAAAGTATTTAATGTGCACATGTGTAGAACCTGGACATCCTGGCTTCAGCACATTTGGGAGAGAGTTTTGTTTGGTTTTGGTTTTTTTTTTTTTTTTACCTCTCCATCTGTTACCTAGAATTTGAATACAAGTGGTGTAATTGGAAGCATTCCATCCTCTATTCTCGTCTGTACCCTCAAGGTTTGTTTTATTTAACCTATCAAATGCTACTATCTGAGTGTTGGTTTCTGCTGAGAGTTGTTCCTCTACCAGTAAATTTACCAAATATATTTGTTTCAAAACAGTTTAGCAGTGCTGTGCCCTCCAGTGAGAATGCAGCTGTAGGTGAACGTTCTGTTCTCAGCATTTTGGGTAATCTTGTGTGGTGCCAGGAGCTGAACTTAATTCCTCTGGGTCCCTTCCAATTATGGATATTCTATGATTCTATCAATACTTGTTTTGAAAGGATTAATGAATTTCTGTGGCTTTGTGCTGACTTGCTTTACAGTATCTGAATGGTTTAGATTTACCTAACATCTCCTTTCTGTTGTTTTTGAAATAGCTTCATCTGTGCCTTAAACCATGAGGCCACATTGCCAGCATTGCAGCAGATTGTAGGCTGTGTAGCTGAGGGTGTGTTTCATTTGAACCAACTCCTTTGTTGTTTTTTTTTTTTTTAATGAACTGTATTTTAAATAAGTCTGTCAGACAGCTTCATCTTGCAGTTGTAGTAAGTATGGCCAATATTTTGCCATTCCTTGTTCAGTCTCTTTTAAAGCAACGTCACCAGTTACTGTAAAATCATAGAATGACTCAAATTGGAAGGGATTGTAAGGATCATGTAGTTCCAACCCGCCTGCCAGGCACAGGGTTGCCACCCACCAGATCATTTTCTCTTGCTCATCTGTAAAAAACACAAGGAAAAGTGAACTTGGTTGATGTGGCGCATGATTTCTGTGTTCCCTTTTCCAGAGTCACCCTGAAGTTGCAAAGTTATTGGCCACGTGTCCCTTCAACGCTCGCCATCTTGTTCCTCGAGCCGACCTCGTCGACCACATAGCGAAGTGCCGGGACAAAGGGTTCATTGAGCATGATATAGGTAAGAGAGCTTTGGAGATGCAGGTTCACCTTAGGGACTGAAGGTCTCCTGTTTGTCCGGATAGTTCACATGGTAAACAAAACTGGGAGTCACTTATTGGCTGTAGTTTTGCAAGGCACAGCAGCCTTCAGAAACCTGAGCCTTGCTTCAGTTTATTGGATAGGTTCATTGCAACACTGCAGGTGTGCAAGATAGGCCTTGCACGTAATTTGTTCCCAGGCTTTCTGAATAAAATGGTTGTATCCAAGACTGCATATTGACATACCTCTGCCAGGAGCTGTGATGCTTTACTTACTAGAAGGACAGTACAGATTATCTCCTCCCATTGAGGCTTGAGTACTGGTCCCACATGAAAAGTTGATTTGCATCAAATAGATGCTGTGAAAATCCCTGCAGTTGGGGCAACCTGAGTCATATATTTCCCCCCAAGAGGTGGGTCTGCTCCTCTTCCAGGGTTTTCTGTTGTTGATTTGCTTTGTCTGTCATACCATTCCTGTCTCCTACCTAGTGAAACAGCATGGGTGGATCTGTCCCAAATTATTTAGAGGGGCTTCCTGTGCTATATACAGTGTCTTTTCAGTTCTCTGCAGTGGCTTTTCAACTGCTGCCGCACTAAAGAGCAGATAGATTTCCACCTTCTGTAGAGTTGCTGTGAGGCTAATAGTCATGCCAGCATTCATGTTAACAGGTTTTCTCTCCACTTAAGCATTCCTGCTGCCAACTCCCAGGGAATGCAGCCATCTCCTGTTCTTTGAAAAAGCTATTTATGATTTCAGAGCAGTGTTTGGCTCCTGGGTGTGTCTAACCTGTTCAAATTACATGAAGTTTCCTCTAAAGCAAAGAACTGTTTTACAGTTTGATCCAAGTACTTAACACTTCTGAAGCAGAACAGACTACAGGCACTGATTTTTTCTTTCTTCCTGAAGCACATTGTTCTTCTGGCTTCCAAAGAGATGAGGTGAATGCTGTAAGCACATGGCAGGCACCTCCATGTGATGAAGACTGGGAAACAGGTGGGGAACTTCTTCCTTCTGTGCTCTGCTGCCTTCTCCTGGGTTCTGTCCTCCATCTCTACACCATAAGTTCAGAGATGCCATTCACTTAGGTGCTGCATGTAAGACACTCTGCTTGTGCTCTGTACTGCTAAATGTCCATCTCTTGGCTTAGCAGGCTTTTCTTGGTATGGAGGAATGCCTGCTGTGATTGACATGGAGGTACATTTCCAAACATCCACCTTTCCCATAAAAGCTATTCTACCTTCTCAGCAGGGATAAAGATGGGGACATGATAACTTTTATTTTCCTCAGTTAAATAACAGTGAAACAAACACTTTTCAATATCAACTACTGTTCCCTTTTGAACACGTCAAAATAATGATGAAGATGCTCAGGTATCTTACTGGAGTTTCTTAGTGCTGAGCCTCATCATCTGTTTACTTTTGCAGAGTTGCTAGAGCAGCCAAATTCCCCTTTTATTTGGGGCATGACCAACTCTGGCGTAAACAGGTAAGAAGTGCAAATTTCATAACTTACAAGAGTGTTCTTTGTACAGAAAAATATTGCAACCTACTTCCAGTCCAGCCTTGATTGCTGGACATTTGCTGGCTTTGCTGATGTACAGACCCAGGGAAGAGGGGAAACATTAACAGTGAATGTTTTAATGCTGCTGGCTCATTGTTACCTTCTTCCTTTTGGCTGGCCCTTACAAGAGAAGGGCACTTTGAGGGGCTGGCAGCGTGCAGTTCTGCTGGATATCTGGCCAGCATATGAGAGATGAGCCAATATGTTGACTTGGAGATGTGGCCTGATGCCTCCCTTTGGAGGAGTTTGTTCAAACAGTTACTCCTCTCCTCTTGAACTAATTTTTAGCTAGCAGTCCTTCATGACCACTTGTTGCTTTATATGTGGCAGATGTGCTGGCATAAGGGCCCTGTGTTAGCAGAAATCCCCTCCTGCCCTTTGTGAAGTGTAGTCACAGTATGGGTTTAGATGGAGGGCAGTTGTGCACTTGATGGAGCTGCCTTGCCAGGTGTCACTGAGCCAACAGTAGATCACTATTGCAGGCTGTGTATGAGGTGTGAAAGTGTGTTTTAAGATTTGTCTAAGCCAGTGTGCAGAAACAGTTTTCCAGCTGTCAGCCCTGCAGTTATATGTGGGCTGAAGCATGATGCAGTCCCCCTGTAAAAGGTTTAACAGTGTTGTCTAGCTTCACTCATTACAATCTCTGGAAGACTTTATAGTGTTTAGAGCATATATAGACATTGTAAATATCACCACTGTCAGGCAGCAGAGTACCATCTCCTTGTGTCCCTGTCCATCTGTTGTGTCCCTGCTCCATACTATAGTAAAGTGCATAAATTTGAGTAATTACAGTAGTTAAGAACTAAATTCTTTCAGTTGCAGTGTCACCTCTGGACAAAAGAATTACCTTCCTTCAAGTGTACGTGCGCCTGAGTCCTCCCCATATGCTGCATCCTGGAAGGATTGTGAGTAGAGTGCATGTGGTTTGGGTGCTGTAACTTCTGTAACAGTGACAGTTTATGAAATTTCTGGCTGTAGCAGTGCTTTGTGGGAACTACATGGACAGGAGAGATACTATATAATATTCTTCTTGAGGTTTTCCTAAGGAATCTGATGTTTGGGTTATTTTCTGTATCTTTTCTCTGAAATAAAATATACAAATAATGTTCCATGTTCCTGACAGACTTCTTTAGAGTGGTGCCAATTTAAGTACCCTGCTACCCAGTCACTTCAGCCTCATCTCTAAACAAGTCCATCCTTGCTACCCTCTGCTCACGTGCACCCTCCCCACTTAGGCCACATGATTTTCCTGCTTTGTGTATCTGTGCTCACTGTCAGGCCTAGTGAGCTCAGAGTAGGGGTAAAACTGGGACTGCTTAAACCAGCACTGCTAGGGAGAAAAAATATCAAAGTGCATCTGGAGGTGGGAGGAAGAGAGCTTCATGATGAAGTGACAGGTGCTGAAATCACAGAAGTCCTCTCAGGAGAGGAAAAGAAAGAAGCAACAACATGGGGGTTTGTACATCGTGCTGAAATGTGGTACCTTGGGCTGATACTTCAAAACATGCTTATACATTTGCAAAAGAGGTGCATTCAGAGTTATGTGCTTAGGATGATCATGGTTTGGTGTTAGCTATAAGCGAGCAGATATAGTTGTGCTGAGAGCAAGGAAATGCCCTGCATAAACCACAGCTTTGCATGAATCCAGGTCTTGGTGTAGAGGGAACGTGTGTAGTCCCATTTCAATGGAAGCTGGGAACCACACGACAGAGGAATTTCCAGGTATTTCTGCTGTGCACCTTGAAGTACGCCCTGCACCTGCAAAGCAGCACTGTGTGTTCCTCTTTTCAGAGCTGTAGGTGTCTCAAATGGTTTATGTGGATGCTGTACTGGATTTCTGGAAAAATACTAGGCTTTTTGCTGAGGAGATACAGAACGTTTTTCTCAGTGGTAACCAGTGGTCATAAGATCTATGGTTAGTGAAGTCCTATTTGAGGGTCTTTTTATAGCCTGCAGAGCATAAAATATGTTGTGAGAGTTTCTTCAGCCTTGAAGGAGGCCGAGATTTCTTATTGCATCTCTGCATAAAGATTGGTAAAGATCATTTTGAGCAAACCTAGAAGTATATTTCTGTGTATGCACTTTCTGCTTTTTATCTTGTCAACATCCGAGTGCGTCCATTAAGGATAAATCAGGGTTTTATAGCATATTTTCATTTATGCTCTTCTGTCTTCTTTCAGAAAGCATCGTGATGGTGTCATCGCAGCTTCCAGCCATTGCAGCTTCATCGTGTGGGTGTGTGGTGTTTCCATTCATACAGCAATGGTGAATCCTCTGTGAATTCCTCACGACACACAGTTATAGCATGCAACCCTTACAGCATGCAATTATGCAGTCCTTACGATGTTCACGTACACAGCTGAAATCTAGACCTAAGTATTTGTCAGATTTCCACTGGAGTTTTGCTGTTCGTTCTTAGAGAAAAGTTTTCCAATGCTTAGAGCATGTTTGAAAGCTCAAACACAACTGTTCTTTCCTGAGGGTGGGAAAAAGTTCAGTTTACTATCAGCACATCTAGGACCATGGAATTGTTTGGATTAAACAGTATGCTTCCTAAAAGAAGATCTAAATTACAAGCACGAAAAACTAAGAAACAACACAAGGTATTTGTCTAGAATAAACTTAATGCCAGTGATGTTTGGAAAAGAGTTCTCAAAACTTCTTACCATTAGTGTTACTGCCAGTGTAAAATAATGTAGCATAATGTGCAGAATTAGGATTGGTTCTGTCAGGACTCTTGTTGTTCAGAATGACAGTTCATAATAAAAAGATTTTGAATCACATGGCCTTGAACCTGTTTTATGTTTCTAGAAGGCACCTGTAGTGATTTGTTATACTCTTGTTCTGTTGAGTAAGCAAATGCTTACTCAGGAAGCCCTCTAATTTTACAGACAGATGCCCTAGTTCATCCCCGTTAATGTGTGTTCTGTTTGATAAAGGAGCTCATTTAATTGTCATTTGGTGGAAGGCTGGCAGTACTTAGTGCAGTAGCTCCCTTACCCTAAACCACAGCAAGCAGGAAAGCTGTCATTTTGCTGCTCCCTATAATGATTTGGGAAGGGAAGATTAACTGGCTTTTTAAGGGCATAAAACAGCATGATGACCTTTCCTCCAGCATTAAGATTATTTAAAATCCAAGTATCATTTGTGGTTGGATTGTTGGGATGAAGCTCCCTCTGATTACTTTGTGTTCACCACAGGGCAAGGAATATTTTTAAAAGTGAGTTAAAGGAAGCCTATTCCAAAGTGGCAGAGCCAAGGGCTTTCGTGTGGCTGTCACTGTGGCTGCACCTCTGTAGTTGTTTGTTAAATCCTCGGTGTCTCTCGTGATGGACAGGCTGTCCAGTGCTGGAGCCTTCACCCCTTTCTAGCCCCTGCTGGATGCCTCATTTTCACAGGGGAATCTGATGGTGCATAAATAGAAGATAGAATTAAATCTATTCAGGGATATAAAGGGGAACGTTAAGAAATACTGCCGTTGTATCAGCGGCAAAAGGTAGGCAGGGAATGTGCGGGCCGTCCCAGGAAGAAACTGGAGACCTGGTCACAAGAGATATGGAGAAAGATATGGTGCTCAGTGACTTCTTTGTTTCAGTCTTCACTGGCAAGGGCTCTAGCCATACTGCCTAAGCTGCAGAAAGCAAAAGTAAGAACTGAGAGAAGGAAGATCTGCCCCTTTTAAGTGAAGATTAGATTTGAGACCATCTACAGAACCTGAAGGCGCTGGTGGTCCATGGGACTTGGTGAGATCCATCCACAGCTTCTGAGGGAAATGGCAGATGAATTTGCTAAGCTTGTTATCCATCATATTTGAAAAGTCATGGCAGTCTGGTGAAGTTCTCACTGACTGGAAAAGTGGGAACAAAACTCCCATTTTCAAGGAGGAAAAAAGATCCAGGGAACTACAAGCCAGTCAGTCTCACCTGTGTGCCTGGCAAGATCATGGAGCAGATCTTCCTGAAGGCCCTAATAAGGCACATGGAAAATAAAGGTGAGGTCATTAGTGGTAACCAACATGGCTTCATCAAGAGCAAATAATGTTTGGCAAACTTGGTGGCTTTTTGCTACGGTTACAGCGTCAGTGAATAAAGAAAGAGCAACTGACATCATCTACCCAGACCTGTGCAAAGCATTTGACACTGCCCTGCATGACATCCTGATTCCAAAATTGAACAAAAAATGATTTGATGGATGGACCACCTGGATAAGGAATTAGATGGATGGCTGCACTCAGAGATTTGTGTGCAGCGCAGTGGAGATTGGTGACAAGTGGCATTCCTCAGGAATTGGTGTTGGGACTGGTGCCATTTAACATAGGCAACATGGACAGTGGGATTGAGTGCAGCCTCTGCAGGTTTACAGGTGACACCAAGCTGAGTGATGAAGTTGACACAGTGGAGGGAAGGGGTGCCATCCAGAGGAACATAGACTGGCTTCAGAGTTGGGTCCATGCCAACCTCATGAAGGCCAAGTGCAAGGTCCTGCACCTGGGTTGGGAAAATCCCAAGCATAGATACAAGCTGGATGGAGAATGGCTTGAGAGCAGCCCTGAGGAGAAGGATTTGGGGCTGTCAGTTGATGAAAGACTCCACGTGAGCCAGCAGTGTGGGCTTGCAGCCCAGAAGACCAATCGTGTCCTGGGTTGCATCAGGAGAATTTGATCAGCAGGACAAGGGAGGTGATTCTGCCTCCTGCTCTGCTCTTGTGAGACCCCACCTGCAGTACTGCATCCAGTTCTGGGGCCCCCAACACAAGAAGGACGTGGAGCTGTTGGAGCAGGTCCAGGGGAGGACCACAAAGATGATCAGAGGGCTGCAGCAGCTCCCCTGTGAGGACAGGCTGAGAGAGCTGGGGCTTTTCAGCCTGGAGGGGAGGAGGCTCCAGAGGGACCTTTTAGTGGCCTTGCAGTACTTAAAGTGGCCTACAGGAAAGCTGGGGAGGGACTTTTTAGAAAGGTATGTGACAGGATGAGGGGAAATGGCTTTAAACGGAAAGAGAGTAGATTTAGCCTACGAAGACATTCTTTACTGTGAGGGCAGTGAGACTCTGGAACAGGTTGCCCAGTGAGGTTGTGGGTGCTCCCCTCCCTGGAGGTGTTCAAGGAGCAACCTTGGGAGGTGTCCCTGCCTTTAGGGAGGCAGGGGGGTTGGAGCTGAAGGTCCCTTCCAATCCAAACTGTTCTGTGATCCTGTGACTTCCACCAGCTTGAGTTTTGTGGTGGCACAAGTTCTGTTAAACTCGCTGTGTGAGCACTCATGGCTGCACCCTGCCTGCTGGGCCATTTCTGCCTTGTGTGAGTCTACCAGCTTAATGGCAACAGGACTGGTCTGACTAGAAATCTGTATGGAAATTTGGGATATAAACGGTTGTTTGTGTCTGCAGTTGTGATGGGTGACTCAGGAGGGAAGAGGAGAGGTATTTACATTTAGGCACAGATTCTTCTCTGTTGTGGAGCTTGCACGATTTAGCACATGCTTTCCATCAGCAGAATCACACTAGCCCAGGAAGAACATCCTTTCTCCAGCTTTCCCCCTCACTTCACCAGCCACAGAGCGCTGAGAAAGGGATTAACCACTTTCTTCTCCAATCCTGTGACCAAAGGCAGATTGCACTCATTCATTTAATTTTTTCACTGTGCTGGAGTAAGAATGCTGGGGGGAGGGCCTCTTCCTTTATGTGCACTTCTCTTCAGGATCGAGTTCTTGGTAAGAGTGACTTGGATTCTTACAGCCTGCTCTTCTGGCACTCAGTGCTTTGCACCACCTAGATCTCTGGGCCTTTTATTGCTGGCAGCAGGAAGACCAATACAAGTCCATGCAATCCTTGTTCACAGTCTCTTTTGTGCCCTTCCACTTTTTCTATAGTTAAGATGAACATAACCCATAATTCCAGTTGTGAGGATTGTACTCACACCTACAGCACCCACATACATGATTTCACATCCAGGCTGATGTTCACCAGACCTGGAAAACTCCCACACTTCAGACCAGGATCTCTTTCCTCAGTGTTGCCTTCAGCTAATGGGAAGGTGGGGTAATTGCATTTGTTCCCAATTGACATCCAGGAGAACAGCACTGACCAGTGCCCATTCCACCCCATCAAAGGAAGAAGGTTCCTTACTACTGTGAAAAAGCAGCTTTAAATCTGATCAGTTAAATCCTGCCTAGCTGTAACATAATCGCATAAATTCAGTGTTGAATTACATTGTCTCCCCCCCAGTGCAAAAGGCAAGAGGGTAAGAAAATGAGAGGAAATGAGGAAGGCTTTCTGTCAAGGGCTTCTCATGAGCAAGCACAAAGTGCTGGAGATAGAAGAAAGGAACAGATCTGCCTGGTGAGGCAGATACAAGTTAGAAAAGTGTCCCTCCTTCTATGTGCGGGAAAGTGAACAAGTTCCCAGTTTTGTTTTGCCTTCTGAGTTCTGCACCCAGCACCTTTGTCAGCACTGTGATCATGAAGGCTGGCAGTAGAGGGCTGGTGGAGGGGACCAGGCTGATAAGGGGGGGGGGAGGGGGGGGGGGGGTCTCTCACATTCCAGGGTTACGTTGATTTGTTGGATTTGGTGTTTCCTTTACCTGCACAGAGAACTACCACCTGCTTCTGAGCTTCAAATTCCAGCAGGCAAATGTGCCTGGGGTTCCTGAAGGCAGCACTAAATCTCCTTTTTCTGGTAGATGAGGCTCCGGTTGCAGATCTCAACTGCACAACCAAACCACATTCAAGAAACCATTTCCCCTTGCCTGGCTTTTAATCAAGGTTCTAACTTATAAAAACAAAAGCATGGGTTCAGCCTGGAGGTTTCTTTAAAGTGCCTACTCCGCAATAGGCTGGAAATCAAAGCAGTGACTGCCCAGGGTTGCCCACATGTTGGCTGCACTCACAGAGTTCAGATGTTTCTTTTGAAGCATTAGCCAAACCGTGCAGACGAGGAGGCCCTTTGTGCAGGTCTGACGTGCACATTCCAGAGCACAGAGAAGATTAAAACAGCCCATCGACCTCTTACCAAGTAACTGGGAAGGGCCTTATTACGTGGGGCTCCCACATACCTCAATGGTCAAGGGCAGCAGCACTCTTTTACCATGGCCAGCACAAGCTGTATGTGTGTGTCAAGAACTGCCCTGCATTTTGCCAGCCTGAAATACAACACGATTGTCACCTCTACAGCCCCTTTCCACAGTGCTCATATCGCTGTGTCTGCTCTGGTTCCCTTTCCCTTTTGTATTCCCTTCTGCACCCTCTCTTTTGCTCTTAGTTCTTCACCTTCACAAATCAAGAGACCCAACAGGTCTTGTGAAAAAACAGGAGCCCTCTGCTGGGTCCAGGGAAAACTGGCAGTGGGCTGAGGGTCTGAAAGGACAGCATGAGCTCAGCTGCAAAAGCACTGACAAGAGCATTAACTAGATAAATAATAATAGATAAACAGGCGATCTATGCCTGTTAGGACCATCCTGTCTGCACCAAAAACGTGTGCAGCAGATGGGGAGGACTGCAGACAGGTAAACAGGTAAGTTTCGAGGTGGGTCTTGGCTTCACATCAATGCAAAGCAAGAAGGCAGGGGTGGGGAACAAGGAACTGCTTCAAAACCACAGGCCTCAGGCGAGACAGAGTAAAGCAACGCAAGAGCACCCTCTGTATGCTGCTCCATTTGCTACGTTCACACAGTGCTACGGTCATAGCATGGTAACATTCGGACTACACAGCTCACAAAGGTGTTTCTTTCTTTCATGAGGCACTCAGTATTGTTACAATGGCCACGCAATGTTACCGTTTGTCCTGCGCTACTTTAAAGCAGCTGCTGCTTTCTAACACACCAGCTGTAATACACAGGGTTAACCTTCAGAAACAGCATATGCACATAGGCGCAGTGCTTAGGCTTTGGTTACTTGACAAGTAAAAACCACCTCTAGTGCTTATCTGTACTATCTTCCTTACTAATTAATTCTATCCTATCCAATCGTGAAGTCTGGTATTTATTATCTCCCCTTCAATCTGCACATCTCTTATCCACGGTTTGCTCTCAACCTGACTGCACTCGGCGTCTTTGTTTCAAAACCTTTCCCTGTTTTTTATCTTCCTGGATTTCTTACCACCTTAAAGTGTACTGATGAACCAAAAATACTACTTCTGATAAGCTTCCTCTTATCGTGTTGGAGCCCGTGAGGGGACCACCCTGGAAGAAAAACCATGAAAGCCCATCTCAGCAGTTGATTATGAAGTGCATTTTTTAAAATTCTTTTTCCAAAGCTTTAGCAAGAGACTGCCAAAGGGCTCTCCAATCTATTGATCCAGTTTATGGCAACATAACTGGAAGAAACTTTTAACTTTTTCCATTCTTTGCTGGATATTTTCTGATTTAATGAGTGTTTCGTAGATACGGGGAACTTCAATTACTGCAAAACAAAACACACAATTGCAAGAAAAAAGTGATTTAATCCTTAATCAGTTTGATCTCTCGTTATAAATACACTCTATCAACAGACACATTTTGCCCTCCAAGCTCCTCCTGTACTATCCTTAATTTGAAGGTCTCACCCTCGTCCCATTACATATAAAATACTGATCCAAAGGAGTATTTTTCCAAGTTAGTTCCCACAATGTCCTCTCAGCAGAGAGCAGTCCATTCAACTGCTGGACACCTTCTGTTGCACAGAGGTTCAGAAGCAAAAGAAATGTCTTCAGTAGGAAAGGAAACTTCACACCTGTCACAGCACCACTGGTAATGCCAGCAGTTTCAGTTCTGTCATTTCACAGCAGCAGAAATGTCGATCCTACCCTTGCTGTTGCTGTGGCACAATGTAATGACAGCAGTTTTGAAAGGTTTACACGAACCGTCTGAGATGGCAGAGATCTCCTGTAAGCCATTTTGTACTTAACATCGAGTACAAATTTGCTTGACGTTACACATCATCAAACCCATTTACTGAAGTGATTTCTTCAAGCTCTACATCTCAACAGTGAATAGCAAAGACACCACATGCAGCAGCGAGGTCAGCCTACATGAGGAGACTCTAAGAGAGGAAAAATAAACGAAGAGGCAAGTATCAAAATGTTAATCTCAAAACAGAAAAAATAAAATCCCGATCCATCTGAAAAAGAAACCAAATTGACTAGAGTCCTCGGCTTGGTACGAGACAAATCCTGCTGCAGCGAGGCACAGCTGTACAGACACTGCACTGCACAGTTGTAAAATAGAGGTGGAAACGGACCTGTTTATCAGGAACAAAAGATTGGCAAGCAATCTCTTTACAGGGTGCCGAACTGGTGTAAGAGAAAATGATCTAATGAGTGTGTTACAGTAACAAATTTCAGATTCAAATAAACTTAGGGTAATTTATAAAGTACACTAAGACAGATGGTCTCTCACTGCAGACATCCTCTTTAAATTCCTTAGTCCTGGCTTACACATAAACTGATCCTGCATACTGCCTGCTGGTGTGTTTTCTTGAGGAAGTGCAGCAGACTGAGAAGACAAAGAGCATGAAGCACTGCAAAACCATCCACAGAACAGCCAGCCAGAAGGTGTGAGCACACAGGATGACCAACAAGCTTCTAAGCTTGTCTGCTTCCTTCTGCTGAACCATCTGATGAGATTGTCTAGGCACTGATGGCACCTCGGCCTCCTCCACTGTTGGGTCTGCACTGACATGTTGTGTTTCCTGGAGTCCAAATATGAAGCTGATTGGTTGGAGATGGCTGATCAAATTGGACAGTCTCTTCTGGACTTTAAAGACACGTCACAGCTCACAGATCAGTCTATACTTAAGCAATGGTAAACAAGCACTGCTGAAGCCTGCTTCACTTGGCCTTACTAGCAGAATTTGAAGAAATTGTATTAATAACTGTTAAAAAAATCTGGTTTACAACAAGCTACATAATTATGAAAGCAAAGCTTATTGGAACAAATACAACACTGTGAAGTGTTATTAATTAAAAGACCTACAACCCTTCCAGACAGAAACGATGGAGGAATTCCCAGCAGAATGCCACACCATCCAGACGTGAAACTTCTGAGCCTCTGTCAAACATCTGGAAATGCTCCTGACTTGTATTCAAAATAAGAACGTATCTGGAGACTGTCTGAAATGGAAGGCTGAGCGAGATCCCAGGTTAATCATTCCAACAGTCTGCAGGGCACTGAGTACCGTAATTAAACTACGAGGCATTTCCTACCTGTCCATGTTTAAATGTGGATAAATGTCTATTCAGCCAAGGAATACAAAATCTAAGTTGCATCATCACAGAGATGATATTTTGTGAAAATGTCCTTCACAGTAAGTCTGCAGGTACAAAGAATGATGCAAAGACCACCCTTCCCAGGGAGGCAGACGAAATGTTTACCATCCAAGGACAAGTCGGTTCAGGAAACTCTTCTGATGACATTTGGTTTTAAATGAGAGGTTTGTTGCCCTGATCCCACTGCTACTCTGAATTAAAAACAAACAAATGAAAACAGCAGAGAGCCCATTCTGGCTGTGTGAACACAAAAATGACAGATCTCAATTTGAACGCAGCAAAAACTTACCTGCTTCACCAAATCCAAAAATACTGGCTACAGATCACACAACCTTAAACATCTCGGGTAACAAACTCAAAACAAGATGTCCATTAGCATCAAAAACGTCACGTGTTGCAGTTTTGGAGGTTGGATTTGGTACTGGGCACACTGAGGTGACTCAGTGATCTGCAGCTGTCAGGAAGCAGGATGAGCACAGCATTCAGCTTCAACGAGGAAGCAGCAGAGCAAAGCTACCAAAGCGAACTTCATTTCAGCCTAAACCAAGAAGTTTGCACTGGTTGGAGTTGTACGGGTATACAAAAAATGTCAGCGGAAGTTATTACCATCTTCCAGAGCCAGAACCTCTCCTTACAAGTCCTTCCTCCCTCTAAGCAAAAGAAAGATGGGAATCCTTCACTTTCCACCACTTTTTGCACTCTTAGACTGCAGGAGTGCACCCACAAATAATGCAGAAGTGTCTTTAGTGAGAGAATTCCTTTAACAGATAACACGCTCACCAGGGTCAATTCCAGCTTGCAAAGGAAAGGCTCACGTCCTCTCATGTCTGCCTTTGCATCCTCTTCTCCCTGTCTAACCAAAAAAAAAAAACGACAACAAAAGAAAAAAACATTCCTACCTTGCAAAACGCCTGGACAAAATTTTCACTTCTGCTTCCTACTTAATCAATTTTTAAACTTAAAGACAATAAGGCGAAAGTGGTAATGGACACAGACATTTTCACAGGGCCATTCTGATCTACGCTGTCCCCAGATAAATTTGATCCCCTACACACTTTCCATGTGTCTGAGTGTGATTTGTAAACTCTGCAGCTCTCAGGAAGGGCTCATCCAAAGCAGCGCTCAGAGGAAAGTACATTTTGGAGGGCAGTCCATCTTGCTCCAAAAGACAACATCCTCTGGCAACAGTTGAGTGGCTCATGTCAGATACTGCACGACCAGAAACATGATTACACAAGTCACAATCATTCCCCCAATCATCAAGTATTTATCTTGAAAGGCTCGCTTCTCAATCAGCCGCATCACTGTATTGGATAAGCCCAACGTGTTGGCAACATCCAGGATCTTCTTTTGAGTTCCCTATGAATACAAAGACAACAAAGAAACAATTACCTTAATGGCACAATCTTTATTCTATGAAATATTTTATCACAGATGGTACGTGAGTAATTCTTATCCCTCAGAAAACAATGTAACTTGCTCTAAGTCAACAGTGTAAGAGATGGCCGTGGGACCCTGGCAAGGATGGCATGACTAATTCATAGACAAGAACAGGAAAGAGGTTAAAGATAGAAAGCAGTGCATCCAGACAGAAGCATCACAGACAGCAGCTCAGAGAAAACCACTCTGGAGCAATTAGACATTTTTCTGGTCTACTTTCAGACAGTCTACAAGCTTGAAGCTTCCTGACAACCTTTCTTGAAGAACTCCCCTCCTGCTAAAGTCCAGTTTGAAAGGAGGTCCAGAAGCTTGTAACGCCAGCGGTGACGTGCAATGTAAAGGTGTATAAAAGTGCAATGAATGCAATTTCAAGAAATCCCTGCAGAGAAAAGCACTGCACAAGACTGCTAGCAGGCAAGCTGCAGACAGGTCCACACCTCAGTTCTGCTTCCCTGATGAAGCAGTTGGTATTATTAAGAATGTCTGTGGATCCCAAGAGTCACCGGATCAGCGCTAAGCACGTAGCAGAGCTGCTCAACTGGAAGCAGCAGGAAATGCCCCAAGAGTCACCATGCAGAGCAGCACTAACACTGGCACTTTATTTAAGGGAAACTGTCCAAAGAAACCTGTACAGAACACAGGCCCACAGATGTACACAGCTCAGAGCTGGACATCATCCTGTCTGGGAAGAAGGGAAAGAACTCATGGCTGCAGTCACAGTGGTGCAGGTAGGTGAAAAACACCATCCTAGATAAGCTAGAAAGGGGAAGTTAATTCTTCCAGGAGAGCCTTCACAACCCTCCTAGCACTGGTAACCTTATCCTTCTCTGCCTTTTCTTTCACCTCTGCTTCACAAGGTGGTAACAGAACCCCTCTATCCACTGCTCCTATGGTAGATGCAGCTACAATAAAACCTCTTGAATGGTTTATATACTTAATAACGTACTTAATAATATACTTAATACTTAACCCATCAAGTTTTTCTAGTAATGGACTTTGTATAAAAACAAATATCTATTCATATGTCAGTCAACAAACAACCTTAACCACAAAGCTATCCTTCATCTCTGAAAGACCCGAACTGTGCCTACAGTTCAGTACCTGCTTTTATCTGGCAAGACTGCCTTTAAAGCCAGTGGAACATCAGTCCATACAGTGTTATGAGGTGTGATTTGTCTGATGACAAGGATTTGTGTTGGCAATCAAAACTGCCTAAATCCTCTGGGAAATACATCCCAAAACAAAACAAAAAAACAGCAGTCATTGTTACCCCCATCATCAGATGAATACAACAGCGACAGGGACTTCCCTTCTCACAAATCCAGCTCTGTCTTCCTCAACACACACTTATTATTATAAAGTTCCTTTTATACTTCTGAACTCTTAACCCAAAACTTAACATTGCTTCATTCTTCAAAGGAGAAGTTATTAGAAGACTTAAAGCAGTACAGCTTTCTTGAACAGTATTTGGGGGAAGACTTGCTGCTGATGTGCATCAGACTTACTATCTTCATTAGTAATTTTAAACATTTTCTCCCAGCACTGTGGTTGTTCTAAGTGGTGTTTATCTGTGGCAAAAGATGAACTACCTGTGAGCTGAACATTGCTTTCCATTCTTCACTTGGGAAAAAAATAAAACAAATAACAGAAGAAAACACAACATTCAGTGCTCCAGATACTGACTGTGTGATGACTGCTACCCCACCAGGTCACAAAAACAGATTTTAAGTATGTTCCTAGTAAAATGACAACATATTAAGATCTTAAACTTAGCTGAATTGGAGTTTAGGTCTTTACCAGTGTTCTCAGCTTGAAGCAACGCACTGAAACAGATTTATTTCTTTTACTTAGCCAGATCACCGCAAATGCAGAAACGTGGGGTCTTTTTGGTAAAAAATAATGCCCCCACCTTTAATGTCACTCTCTGGTCCCTCAGCCCCTGAAGAATGTTGGTCCCACTGCCAATAAGATCATCCATGCCACGATGGGCATTCTGCAGGGATTCATTAAACTGTAATGTTTCGTCGATCGGTATGGTGGTGTCAGAGTCCTGTAGGGGAAATGCAGGGTCTTGGTTACCTGGCCTACTCACACTCACAGATCCAGAAAGAGAACAAACAGAAACAAACAGCCCTTGACAGGACTGGAGGGATTACGTTTTAAACAGTTTTTTATAGGGATGTTAAAGCAATATTAGTATTTGAGTGAGAAAACGTGGTTTATAGAAGCCTACAGGAATCCAGTCAAAAGACAATTCGCTGTTCAACTAAAATTAGATTCCAAAAGATTAAAGAACAAATTAAAAATAGAGAGTGTTCATAATCTCTTTGTGACACAAACAAAAACGGGTATTACAACAGAGAACATAAAAACTATCAGAAGGGATTAAACAAAGGAGTCATTTGATCATCACAAGTGGAAGATTTTCGAAAGACAGCAGCACATTTCTAATGACAAAAGGCCTGTAAAACAAAGCCTGGGAGATGGCATTCCATCAACTTGTATCTACAAGATGCAATCTCTGATACTAAGGGCAAACAGAGTCATCAGCCCAGTTCCCTGAAGGCCGAACTCACTCACCAAGGAAGGCCTTATCTAAACAAAATAAAACATCCAGAGAAGATGCATTATCTCAAGCATTTAAAGATTTAAGTATAAATCTTTAAATGGAAGTAACTGGAATAAAACTGTATAGTCCGGGTTGCACAAGAGATCAGAAGATGTCATTGCTTTTCTGTCTTCCAAAGCCTTCTGGTTTATCCTTCTTTGGGCACCACCCCACTGAGAGTCAAGATGAAAGTTCACAACTCCCACACTGCTTCACGAACAGGAATCATGGCACTGGTGAGAGTTCAGTGTGGAAACACTGTTTTACCTGCTTACATGAACGCAGAGCAGCAAGAACTGCTTAAATATGTAATTAATGTTTGGGGGCAGAAGACAGCTAATGCTCTACATCTGACAGTCAGCTGTAGGTTATATGCATGTGAAAACACCAAACTTGCAGTGATTATTGTAGGGAAAAAAATTAACACAGGAATGATAGGCATAATCCAGAGCTGGATGTCTGCTCCAGCGTGTGTTCTGCTTATAAAGTCTGAAAGAACGAAGGATAAAAGAGCTGTTCACAGCTGCAAGGTCAAAATTACTGGATGAAGAAGACTCCAGATGGCAGACACAACTCTGACCAAAAGCTAATAAGGCACAAAGGTTAAAAAAAATATGTTATCTTGCAGGAATCTGCGAGGCAGAAACACTTGGATTTGCATGTGAATGGCTGTTCCTTCAGATATTTATTAAACTTCAAATCAGATGAGTTTCATTTCCTGTGCGGGGAGTTTGCAGTTGATTTTCATTTACACACAAGGCAACAAGAAAACTGTCTAGGTAGATTTTTGTTCACAGAACCCTAGGATGGTTTGGGTTAGAAGGGCTCTTAACAATCACCTCGTTCCTGCCCTGGGACACAAACCTCTGCATCAGGTTGCCCAAAGCACCATCCAGCCTGGCCTCCTGTTTGCTGCTCATAGGGACACAAGATGGCAGCATATTTTTCATTTGCTGTTTGTGTTTTTCTCCAGAACTGTTCCAGGAAAGGCTTTAAAGGTAAAGCCCACATCTATCTTTGAATCAAGCAAAACATTCAGAACACTGTTAGAGCTTTCAAAAGCCATTATGCATTTTGCAGTGCATTTAGGATGCTTTCACACTCAGCTGACATATAAATAGCTGGTAAATGTCTAACCAAAATAGGTAGGCCAATAGCTCACAGACAAATCCTTTTCTTATCACAGGGACATTTGACACAAATCCAAGGAAAATGTATACTTTGGTACCTACCTCATTCCAGCTTCTGGAATTGCTATAGAAAACCAGGTACAGCTGCACTGGAGCAGCAATTTCTGCACTCTTTCACAACTGCCACTCATCAGGCCAACTTCCTTCATCAAAGACTTGTACTTTCTCATGAATTTTTACTCCTTTCTATATTCCATTTACACCACCACACAGCAGTCATCCAACAGTCAAGCCCAGGCCTTGTCTGAAACTTCTCTGAAAGAAAACGGCCTCTAGGACAGAGAGATCCAAAATACAGGATATTTACATTAGTGGTGAATGTTCGTGCCAGCAGCTCCTCCCGCTGCCGTTCTTGCTGCTCCCGGATGTAACGACGATGCTGGAAGTTCCTCAGCGCTGTCTGCAGGTGCTGAACGTCGTACTTCAGCTGGTCGACTCGGCTAGACGAGATCAACAACAGGAAGACATTCCCAGGGATAAAAATACCAACCTCACGTTGCGTTTTTTAATGAAGCATCATAAATTAACAGCAACAAATACTAAAAATGATGGACTCTAAAAGATAAAGGATGTTTGATGTTAGGCTTCTCTTCCAAACTTAGATCTTCTGTGCCTCTTTTTTTTTTTAGTGAAAAGGTGATTATTTAACTGCAGGCTACAGATAGAAAGTGAAGCACAATTCTTGAGCTATTTTATACATCTTCTCCTACACTAAGCCTCTTCAAACTGATTATACATACATGCCTATGTATATACTGTTCATTTAACAAAGATTTGAACAGTTTCTATTTTGTGACCCATTCATATAAAAGATTTAACTTTCAAGTTTCGTTAATTAACGCCGTGTTCTTAAGTTTCAGTTTTTACAAAAGGAACCTGAAAGCCAGAGGGCAACACGGCAGACATCTCCACTGGGGTAAAACAAATCATGTCCAGAGCTCCACTGCTTCCAATTAAATGTTCAATGACTACAAGGAAAACCAAGATGACTGTTTCAGATACCAACCTTTATCATAAAGGTGATAGCAAATCCCCTCCTAGTACCTACAGAGGTATTCTGGGACTAAACATTAACAGAACATTCTGAATGGAAAGCTGTCTAATAGCCTGTGGTCCAATTGCCTGCACAAACCAGTGCTCATTTCAGAAACCTTATTTTAGTAAACAACATCTTGGAAAAGGGTCCAGAACAACTTAAGTAATTTTAGTCCTTACCTCCACAAATACCATTAAGACAAATGCTATACAGAGTAGAAATGCCTTTAAGAATCCAGGTGTGATGTTCAACTCATCTCAGAACAGAGCCATGAGTCTGGCTACATCACCAGACTGCAGTTAGGTGCAGGAAAGTGATTTTGCCTCTGTCCTTCAGTTCTGTTACAGCTGAGCAGAGATTTAAGTTGCACAGCAGAAAAGTTTCACTCTAATGAAAAAGTGAAGGGCTTCCATAAACTTAATGAAAATAATTAGACTACTCCATTATTGTAGCAAAGCAAGTGAACTCACAGTTTAGCATTCTGTCGTTTATTGGGAGGTTCTTTGCTGGACAGGATTTCCAAACGTTCCAAGTTGCTGAATACTTTGTCTATTCTTGCCTGAATCTCATTTTCTACTACTGCAAAGAAATAAAAAAAGATTAACTAAAAGCTCGACAAGTCATGAAAAGCCACTTCTTTAGGTTGAGACTCCTGCCTTCCACCCTTCCTCTGTGAAGGGAACAGGGAAAACCCCTGCTCTTCTCAAATATGCAACCATATTTCCCTATCACCTCTGTATATTAGGACTTCCAAGTTGCTACATTCCCCTCTGTGGCCCCTTCCTGTTCTCTTACCAGGGTTTGCTCACAAGAGCTAACAGCCAAGATGGTTTTCAAAAAAATTAAAGTTATGAAAAACATTAACAAAGAATTGCATTATCCACACCTACAGCAGCAGAGCTTGACCAGCATGGGAAGAAGAAAGACAGAAAATGGCAGACTGGACAAACAGCCCTGAAAAACAAGCCCAAATCAGGGCTGGGGAGCCTTCACAGGTGGGACTATAAGACTTAATAACAATTGTCTCTGTAATCATCTGCTTTGCCATTGCCTCTGACAATCAGTGTGTAGAAATAGCAGAGAGATGAGAGATCAAAATGCAGACTCAAATACTTGAACTGTTGTAAGGTGGGAAAGGCAAACAAGGAAAAAGACGACTCACAGGCTTTCAGTTACTGTCATCACTGTAAAGCAAAACCTGCTTGAGCCAAGATTGCCTTTGTTTTAAACCACTTTTTCCACCAGTGTCACAATCCAGCATTCTGCAATTTATGGGGAGGCCTCAAATCATCTGATGTTCTTGTACATAATAATGGAGAACTGAAAGGCTGAGAGTGGGCAGCCTCCAGAGAACGTCCACACACAGAGCATCAGAGGACACTGAGGCACCATCCTGTCTGTGCAGCCAGTGCAAAGCTCAGAACGCCATGCTCAGTCCTAGAATACATAATTTTCAAATTGCACAGGCACCATTTGTTCTTAGTTTACATTTAGGCTAAGTCTTAAGAGACACTGTTTATTCTTATTTTTTGGTTTTAGACTAAAAAGGTATAGAGAAAAGCATTATTTATCAACTGCTACTTACTCCACAGCATCTCAGGACTTTCAAAAGAATTCCAGTCAGCAGAACCAGAAAAGAAACTGCACATTAAACCCCTTCTGTTTGCATTTTGATCTCACACAATCAAAGAGGAACAAAGCCAAGTATATAAACATTACTCAACCAAATTGTCCAAATTCATATTTCCATCATTTACTACACCTAAACTTAACAAAAGGAAAAAAAAAAAAAAAAAAAAAAAAACAGGAAAGAGCAGAGAATTGCTTTAGCTAGTCCAAACAACTATTTTACTTTAGTTTATATTACTTGGTCATCTTATGTTTTTTCAGAGCAAGAAGGGATTCTTTGCCCAAAGCTGAGGAAGAAAAGCTGCAACAGAAGCTTTGATCTTCCACCTCTTCAGACAAGAGATAATTCCTTAACCCAATAAATTATCAAATATACAATAATACCTAGAGCACATACCTGTATTTTTCTATAGTAAACAGTATGTTTACTTATAGACTGTATAAGATGATACACAATCCTATTTCTTGAAATCTTATCTCTTGCCTCAAGTATTCTGGACCTGATGCAAGTCTCTACAGGACACTGATGCAAGAAGGAGTTCATATCAGAGAGTCACAGAGTGGTTTTGGTTGGAAGAGAGCCTTAGGATCATCTAGTTCCAACCCCTGCCATAGGCAGGGACCTCCCTCTAGACCAGGCTGCTCAAAGCCCACCCAGCCTGGCTTTGAATGCTTTGAGGAAGGGAGCATCCACAACCTCACTGGGCAACCTGTTCCAGAGTCTCACCGCCCTCACAGTAAAGAATGTCTTCGTAGGCTAAATCTACTCTCTTTC